GTATGTAAACTCTGATCATTTTCACATATGCTGGTTTCTGAGGAAATTATCATATTATATATGATTACAAGATTCCTCAAAAATATCAAAAGTACTAATGACATATTTATCTTTTAGAAACAAACTGCATTCCACTATGGTCACTAACCACTAGATGCCACAGTTGCTTCACACAATAAAATCAACTGTCTTGATCTGTCAAGAAAAAAAGAAATACACACAAAAAGGACATAGCTCAATAGAATCTGAATCAAAGTGCCAGTACCAGCCCGAGCTTGATCAGAGCCTCTAACAGAGGGTATGTTGGACTGTTTATTTAAACATTTACTTTTAGCTTTCATAAATGATCAGACTGTGTACTTTCCCCTAGATCATTTGTACTGGCTATTACTAACTTTTACCAATCGATTCAAATACTCAGGGTAATACCAAATGGCAGCCTTGGTGCCCAGTGGTTGACATTAAAGTCATACAACCCAGTTCCATCATCATGAATTCTAACTTCACCATGAATTCAGGGTATAATCTACCCCAATAACTTAATCCCGAGGAGGAGAACTGATTCGTACCTTACAATATTTAAACATAGTCATGTTTGAAATTGCTGAAAGACTAGGGAGGATAGAGAATCAATGTTGTGATTCCCTTTCCAAGCTATTAAAATTTTAGGACATTTTTCTTCTTATTGCTTTTCTCAAAATTGGCCCCCATGCTGTTTCACATAGATTTTTATTAAGCGATTTGCGAGTTCACTTACTGAGAAATCTTGTTTAGATAAGAAAAGCAATTATAATGGAGAGTTTTTTAGACAGAGATATTAGAATTATCTATATTCATATATTCTCTCTTTTAATACAATATAGAGACCTTACTATTTTTTGTTATGCAATTATGGTTCCTTTCCTTTGACAAGTTTTCATGTATAGATGTCTCTTACCACACCTCTCACCCAGATATTTTCTTAAATTCTTCCTAGAATTTACTGTTTTACATTTTTAACAACAACAAAAGTCCCAGAAAATTACCTACCCTAAAAGTCTTATATCTTCACAATTAAAATAAGTATGAAAATATTATTTCACTGACTTTGGGAAATACCAGATAAGTAACTACAGGAATTGTAATAAATATCACATTAAATTCAGATAAAAACAAAGCAAAACAAACAAGAACTTTGGGCTGGCAGGATGCCTTAGCAGGTGAAGGTGCCTGCCACTGAACCAGAAAACCTGAGTTCAGTTCCCAGAACCCACATAGTGGAAGGGCAGAACTGACTCCTGCAAATCGTCTTCTGACCTCCTCCTGTGTACCATGGCAGGAGAAGCACCCCCAACCCTAGGAACAAGTAAGATGTAATTTTTAAAATGTATAAACCTTTATATGTTTCTCACAAGCTAGGTGTGGTGGTACATGCCTTTAATCCTAACACTCAGGAGGCAGAGGCAGGAGATCTTTGTGAGATCAAGATCATCCTGATCTCCTTAGTAAGTTTTAGGCTAGCTGGGGATATAGGGAGACCCTGTCCAAACAAAATAAAACAAAATAGAACAAAAATCACACCGCAGCTTCTGCATATTAGAAATGAGAACAAGGGGCAAACACTGTGTAGGAAGAAGAATGTTTGCTTTTCTTCTATTCCAAAGGTATTTATTTATTTTTAATTTTTTGCAGGGCTTGGGTTTGAGCCCAGAGCCTCACACATGCTAGGCAAGTTCTCTAGCACAGGGATAGATCCCAGCCCACTGGAGTGAAGCTTTAAATGCCTTCTATAACAAATCTTCTCCTTCTCTTGATTTTTTCCCCCCTTGGGAATTAGACTGAACTTATAAAATATAAATAGGATTTTCATCTTACAAAATACAAATAAAACCCATAAGATTATACTTAACACCCATGATCCTCTCTTAGAACATAAGTCCCAGGAATCCAGGGGGCTCTTCTGCTGTGCTTAGTGATGTTTCTCACTAAGAGGATCTCGTTTTCAATGGATTCTAAGTACTTTTTAAATAAACGAAAGTATGAAATGTAAACAGAAGGGTCTGTGAGATGGCTCAGTGGGTGAAGGCACTGATGCTAAGCCAGGTGATTACAGTTTAATCCCTGGAACCCACAGGGTAGGAGAGAACTGACTCCTAAAGTTGTACTCTGAACTCCACACATATGAGGACACACACACACACACACACACACACACACACACACACACTAAATAAACAAGTGACTGTAAAAGTGTAAAATAAAGTAAGTCTAAAAATAAAGTAATATCTAAAGTTTCAAGAAATTGAACACTGGGAAGAGCTGAGAAGAAATGACATTTCCTGTGTCTGCAGTGAACTACACTCTGTGCTAAGCACATTAAATGTGCTGATACATTCTCACATAAATGTTATCTACAGTTGAAGGATCTACAGCCCAAAGAATTCAAAGCATTTTCCCAAGATCACTTAGCTAGCAATGATATCACTTCGATACTTTCATTTTACTGTGAAAATCTTCTTGTGTCTTCCTGATTCCCAAATTAATGTCCTAAAATACTTCTGAGGACTGCATTTTCCATTCCTATTACTTATCAACACTGCAATACTTTGCACTGGGGTGTTTAAGCTCCTTCTTGGACTCCACTACTCATTAAGCTTTGTGACCGGAGGTGGTGAATATCTTGCTGACACCTCAGTGTCTAAAGCTGTCTACTTGGGTAGTGTGTAGTGTCTAATATCTATTTATCAAATAAATTGATAAATGTACTTAACTTTCTCCTCAATCATTCTAAATAGTTCCCATGTGAGTTATTGTGCATAATGAGAATAAACAGGTTTTGTGGTACAAGCCATGAGTCAGCTATTGGAACAGAGCCCTGTGAAAACTGCAGGTAGGAGTTGATGTTTAAGTAGACTTGGTTCTTTATTGATGACCATATATAATGGAAAACCCTTAAAATTTTGCTCCCATCAAGACAGCTGCTGACTACGTGGGGCTATTTAAATCCAAATAATTCCCAAATAATTCAAGTTCAGTAAAAATAAAAGTGCATTTCCTCCATCACACTAGTCACATGTCGAGTGCCCAGCATCCTTATATGGTCAATGTTTGCCTTAATAGACAGTTATAAATACCCACAGTAGCAGAAATTCTGTGGGATAGCAGTGTTCGGCAAGAATTAAAATGTTTGGGGAAAGATATCTTGTTAAATCAATCGGGGCCTGTTGGCTTGGCTAGTTTTGTATCCTAACTGAAATTCACCATTCAGAAAGAATATGATAGTTTTAATTTTCCATGTGTCCACGGGTAAGCATTAGACCTGGAAAAGGAGCTTCATTGTCCAGCAGATGAAACCTTTAGTCAGACGTGTCCATGCACAGCCAGTGACTGGTGTGGAAAGAACCCTCCTCCAAGGGCTCCAGGCAGGCCCTGTTCCAGGGACGCTGCCAGCACCTTGCTGGACTGAGCCATTATGTCCAATGCCATTCAAAACCATCCTATTGAGTTTGATGCAGAAAGCAGAACACTGCAATCTCAAGAGGAGGAAAAGGTTTGTGATGTCAAAGGCATTCCAGACTGCATCTAGATACACAACCTTCAGAGAGAAACTTCGAAATGTCTCCTTCAAAAACTATCACTCATCTTCAGCTAATTTCTTCACAATATGAAAATAATTTTGGCCAATACAATCCTCTCTCTCTCTCTCTCTCTCTCTCTCTCTCTCTCTCTCATTCTCTTTCTCCTCCCCTCTTTGTGATTCTGCTGCTGAAGTTTTCCCTCCCTTAACAGGAGAGGTGAAATGTCTCTGTCATTGTTTTAAATTAGGCAAGAACAGAACTCCTACCTTCTATTTTACAAGTTCGCCTGGGTATTTCCTTAGATTGCCTATTTTTGGCCCTCTGAATTTGTTCCCATTTTGTCATCATTTGCCATCCCTCCTCTGCCAGTCTTCTACCCAGACTGAAAATGATTCATAGACCTACACAAGAGACTAATCACCAAGAGAGCGAAGGCAGATCTATCAGGCAGCCTCACATTTCGCAAAACAACAGGTAGAGTACTAGTTATTTGGAGGTTGAACCCCGCCCTCACCTTCACCTTCCCCAGCCTTTCAAAAAACGGTTTTCCAGCTTCAGATTTTCTAGGGAGTCACCAAGAGAGGAATGAGGCTTTGAACACCGGGGATGTGGAAGGGTAGGGGCAGGTAGGGGCAGCCAGAGCCAGGCTGGGACTCATGATGCTTGGTTTCCTGGCGGTGAGCTGGACCAGAACTGGAGAGAGTAGGCGCGGCACAGGGGCAACCTTTATGGACGAAGACCGCGAAAGTGTTCCACCGGCCGACCTGGAGTGGGGTGCTGTGGGAGCCGGTCACGCCAGGACATAATGGGCAGTGGGCCCTGGAAGAAGTGTCCCCGAGCACATGCATGCGCTTGCTGGGGGCTCAGGGACCAGAGTTCCGCCGATGAGGTCAGCGGAGTCGACGCGCCGGGAGGAGTGTGGCGGAGCCGCACGATGCGGTGTCCAGGGCGGAGAGGGGCGGGACCCGACGGGAACTTGGAGCGCTAGTCCGAGCCGGGAAGGAGGGCCACGGGGCGGCTCCGCTGGGAGGCAGACGCGCCGACAGGCACGGTTTCCTTCCAGAGAGGAGGCTGGCAGGGGCCGGGCGCTGACCCGGGGCGTGGAAGGGCGGGAGACGCAAAGCCTAGCGCATCCCCACGCCCGGCAGCCGCGGTGCGCGTGGCTCCTCCTTCGGGCCAGTCCCGCGCGCGCGGCGGCGGGAGGAGCGGGAGGCGGGCGGCGAGGGCGGAGGCTCTGGAGGAGGAGGAGGGACCCGGCGCGCCAGTGACAGGGTGGCAGCCGGGGAGCGGACGCGCCGCCGCTGCTCCTCCTCCTGCAGCTCCTCTGCCGGCCGCCGCCGCCGCCGAAGTTTCACTCCTGACACCTCGCCGGGAGCCCCAGCCCGGGGCCCAGCCTCTCCACCGGCGCCGGAGCGGAGCGCGGCGCCCAGCCTCTCCGGGAGCTGCCGGCTGCCACCGGCTAGGCTCGGGAGTGCCCGCGCGGCGGGTGGCGGGGTCGAGGGCGCGGAAACCAAGGCGGGGCGGTAGCTCCGGAGTCCCCGGCGGCGCCGAGACCTCGCAGCCGGCGTCCGAGCCCGAGCTGGCGCGATGGCCGTGCGCTCCCGCCGCGCGTGGATGAGCGTGGCGCTGGGGCTGGTGCTGGGCTTCACCGCCGCTTCCTGGCTCATCGCCCCCCGGGTGGCCGAGCTGAGCGAGAGGAAGAGACGCGGCTCCAGCCTCTGCTCCTACTACGGCCGCTCGGCAGCCGGGCCCCGCGCCGCGCAGCCGCCGCTTCCCCAGTCCCAGTCCCGGCCGCGGCTCGAGCCGTCGCCGCCCCCCGTGAGCCCCGAGCTCCGGCGGCCGCAGCTGCCCGAGGCGGCGCCCGGAGTCCCCGGCTTTCGGAGCAGCCCCTGGCAGCATCCACCGCTGCTGCCGCAGAGGCGGCGAGAACGCGAGCCCGAGGGTGCGACCGGGCTGCCCGGAGTCCCCGCGGCCCAAGCGGACCCCGAGGAGGAGGAGGAGAAGGAGGAGGAGGAGGAGGAGGAGGAGAGGGGCGCGGCCGGACAGCGCCGAGGCGGCCGGCCCGGGAGCAGCCACAACGGCAGCGGGGATGGGGGCGCCACCGCTCCGAGCGCCCGGCCCCGGGGGTTCCTCTACGTGGGTGTGATGACCGCGCAGAAGTACCTGGGCAGCCGCGCGCTGGCCGCGCACAGGACCTGGGCGCGCTTCATTCCCGGCCGCGTGGAGTTCTTTTCCAGTCAGCAGCCTCCCAGTGCCGCGCTGGGCCAGCCCCTGCCACCCCTTCCTGTCATCGCGCTGCCCGGGGTGGACGACTCTTATCCCCCCCAGAAAAAGTCCTTCATGATGATCAAGTACATGCACGACCACTACCTGGACAAGTACGAGTGGTTCATGCGCGCAGACGACGATGTCTACATCAAAGGTGACCTCCCAACCTTAGCTGTCCTCCTGCCCCATCTCTCCGTTCCTTTTTCTGCACTCAGCCCCAGCCCCTGCCCAGCCCCTTTGCTGCTTCTAGGTCTGCACGTGCTCCGGGTTTCTGCATTCCTCCATCCTTCGGTCCCCACCCCTGGAATCCGCCCACCATTTCTAGCCTTCTGCAGCCTGGACCTCTCCTAGCACCTGGTCAGCTTTATTCACCTTCCTCCTTGGTGCTGGTTGTTCTCCCTCCACCCGACTCTGGTCTCTACCCTTTTCCTGTTCAGAAAGTGAGGAAAGGGACCCGAGAGCTAACCCCAAAGCCACCCCAACACGCACACACCAGCCGGCAGGTGGTGATAGTTTTCCAAATCCATCCAGAGAGGCGTGTCCTTGGGAGAGACAGGCAGGATGCAGGATGCTGGCCAGAGCCGGGCTGGAGAGCCCTTTTTTGCTTTACTTCCCTGCTCTTTTGTTTCAGTTTGCTCTCGAGCAGTTTCAGAACTGCTGAGATGGAGGGTAGTCATCTTTTACTGTCCTGGACCAGTGCCTGCTCATTTCTCTCCCTTTCCTGCAACTTGCTTCACACTTAGGAGACCTTGAGTCCGCCCACCAGCCTTTCAGCCACACCTTAGTAAAACCCAGAGGCCCTGGGTGGGGAGCCCGAAAGGGCAGGTGGGGAAGAACCCAGGCACTGCAGGCTGTACTAGGATACTTTTACTGTACTGGACTGTACACCTTGGTGGCTGCAGCCTTAGGTAAAGGCTGGGAGTGCTACCCAGAAACACATGCAGCCATAGCATAACAAAACCGTGTAGTGTTACAGGAGTCACAATCTTTTACCCAGATTATGGATGTCCCTGGTCAGAGAATTTCTAACCTCAGTGACTCAAAGCTCCCTATAGTATGGGAATAAATCTTTCCAGTCCAGAGAGTGGACAGGATGAGTGAAAATGGCAAAGAAAAAGCAGGCTGTCCTGAGAGAGGAACCTGCATCTCACACTTCCTAACCTCTTGTCTTTTCAAAGGGCGGGCAGCCCTTCCTTACTGTATGCCTCTCTACTGTAGCCCACGCCTTTCTCTTGATCAAGGTTAATCCTTTCACATAATGCTAAGGAAAGCACTCAAAGGTCTCCTTTGGAACTAGGAATTGATGTACTGTTAACAAACAGATATTGGGTTGCTAGAGTTCTAATGTAGTTTGACAGGGGAAATGTGAGTAATTACGTTGTATTATGATTGCTGTTTTGAAGCATACTGTTTATGATTGATTCAAAGAAAAAACACTTCTTTCGAAAGTATTGTCACTTTAAAGCCAGGCATGGTGGTGCACACCTTTAATCCCAGCACTTGGGAGGCAGAGACAGGTGGATCTCTGAGAGATCAAGACCAGCCTGATCTACATTGCAAGTGCCAGGCCATCTGGGGCTACAGTGAGACCCTGTCTCAAAACGCAAACCAAACCAAAAGTCCCTCCAAAAAACCCCACAACGTTGCCACTTTAGCTAACTTTGCTTTCAGTTCCATGTTCTGTGGTGCTTAGATTTTAGGGTAATAATCTTCCCTTTCTCATTGAAATGGCAAAAGTTTCCTTGCAGAGAGGTCATACTTTTCAGTGTACACTGACAGTACCTACCTCTATCATTTGTTTTATTGCTTTAAAGTGTTGTCCCTCAAATTTTTGGAAATGTTATATTATATGTCTATTTAAAAATGAAATACATTTTTATTAAGAACCCTGTACTAGTTTTACAAGATTTGCTGAGATCTAGGGGGCTAGGCATGGGATCAAGATAACAGCTGCAGATACCCTTCATGTCAAAACGAGAGTACCAAAACTGACTAGGAACTTCAAGTGCATGTGACTTTGTTTTGAGATACTGCTGTGTAGACTAGCAAATGCTTTTGAACTGTTACAGCTACAGAATTTTATTTTAAAGCTTTTTTCCTGATCAGCTTACCAGCCCTAAGTGAATCTATTGCATTGTTTTGATTGTAATGTTTATGTATTTTTCTCTAAATTAATGCCTTCCCAAGTTCAATTTTAAGATAATTTTTACCCAAATACTTCCATAAACAATGTAGGTTGCGTTTGACTGGTTTGTTTAATGATAAACACATAATCAGTTCAATTAGCATAAAATAGAATAATCATTGAATATTGGAGCTATGGGGGTGGTTCTTGGCAAAATCCCTGCCTTGCATAAGGAAAGATTTGGATCTCTAGATCACATAAATTAAAAATGATAGTAGCCAGAATAGTGGCATACTGAGGTTCACTGGCTTGCCAACCTAGTCTAGTCTGCTTGGTAAATGGTAGCCCAGTGAGAGAGAACAAGGTTGATGGCTCTTGAGGAACACCCAAGGCTGAACTCTGAACTCCATGTACACACACATGATGTACCCACACACGTGGACACACACATACACACACACACAAATAACTATTTAATATCATCAGACTTCTAAAACAATACTAAATATCAGCCTTTATTATTACTTTTTATGTTTCTGGATATTTTTGCTGCCTCAAATGTGCTAATAAATTAGCCTTTTATCTCCTTATCATTATCTCACATTTTGCTGAAAATTTGATAATTGTTAGACTTGCTAGCATTTTAATAAGATTTAATAAATAACTATGAATTAGCATTTTTAAATAATAGAAAAGAGAATTTTTTTTCTTGTTAATTGATTAAGGCAGTTAGGAGTTTAAGGACACTGAAAGCTCTGGTCCCTCCATCGTGTGTCGTAAATGACTGTGAACGGAGCAAAGGAAGTGACAGTTGCTCTTCTCTTCATAGGTGATAAATTAGAAGAGTTTCTGAGATCACTGAATAGCAGTAAGCCTCTCTACCTGGGACAGACTGGACTGGGCAACATTGAAGAACTGGGAAAGCTGGGGCTGGAGCCTGGGGAGAACTTCTGTATGGGAGGACCTGGCATGATCTTCAGTCGTGAAGTTCTTAGGAGGATGGTGCCCCATATTGGAGAATGCCTCAGAGAAATGTACACAACTCATGAAGATGTGGAAGTAGGAAGGTGTGTTCGCCGCTTTGGTGGGACTCAGTGTGTCTGGTCATACGAGGTAAGCCTTAGGGTGGGATAAAATATGCATATGTTGCAGGTGCATGCCACTTCACAGTCTAGGGCAAGGGAATCTATTCTTTTCTTTGCTAAAAAGTGGTAGTAGCTGACTTTACAGATGTGGAGTTGACTATGGAAAACATCTTCCTGAGGACCTAAAGTCTCTGAGGTTTTGTTGGTAGCATGGCTTTTTAAGCAGATTTTGGGTTACATCTCTGCAGGATGTAATTCCCCTTGGCTCTCTTTATTTGCTCCTCTGGGGTACATGTACAAGTGCATTCATTTGTGTCCTCTAACAAGAGGACAATTTTTTAGTTTCTTAGTCTCTTCCACTATAATTTTTATTATTTGTACTGTCCCACCACCTTATTTTCTAGTTTATTTTTTACTACATTTGTTTTTTTATGTGATGACATCTCTAAATAGCTAAAATTTGAAGTTTCCTTGGGGACTTTCAAGTGGGAATCTAACATATTTCTAGCAGTGTAGGAAAAGGTCCACAATATATCACTTACGGTGATATTTTCAACATTTTAACCACTCTATTTGATGATGTGTTGGGCATCTAAACTGTGTAAATTATTTGGGGAAAATATTCTGAGGGTGTTATGTGACTGCTTAGTGTTTTTACTCTTTATCTATGTCTATTTTTTATGACAATCTACAAACAGAAAGCATCTGAGTATGCGCTATCCTGTCATTGTGGCAACTAGTTTTGTGAAATACTCTGATTCTTTTCCTTCAGAAATTGATTGTAAAATCAAATAAATTATTTAAAATAGAGTTCTTAAAAATAATTTTAAGAAGAATTGATTTAAGGTTTAAATAATATATTGCAGGTTCAATATCGTTTGGTTTTCAGATGTTTGGAGTTTAATGTTATTTTATTTGCCCAGCGAACACCTGTTAAAACTACATTTTAACTTCTTTGTTTTCAAAAATTTCAGGCACTTAGTGTAGAAGAAACATTTTAGAAATGTTTCAGGTAAAGTCATTATACCTTAAAGTTGTACAGTTTCCCTTATTTTTCTTTCAGAAGTATATTACTTGTTAGTTAATTTACTTTCTTTTTTATGTTTTGTAGTTCCTACACCCCACTGAGGTATTTTGAATAATTATTACACACAGTGAAACTTAGGGCAATTACTTATTGGGAATAAATATTAGGCAAATTAGGATGATTATAGAGCTCATTTCTTTTAATAAAATAGCATAGTAATTTTTTCTTTCATAAAACTATCCCATAGTGGGCATGGTCACCTCTGACTGTAATTTCACACTTGCCCAGCACAGTCAGGAGGATGATGAGCTTGAGGCTAGCCTGGGCTGTGTAGTCAGACTTCATCTTAAAAACAAAACCACAGTATGTAGAAGAAAATGGGCATAAAATTATTATAGCTTTTATCATTAAAGCTAATTTAGAATCAACTTGGTAGAAAAGAATTCTAATTTAAAACTACCCAAGAAACTCAATACATATATTTAATGTAGAAAATACATTCAGTTGATTTAAACATATTTTGATTTATTTGAAAATTTCATACAATGTATTTGGATCATGTTCAGACACTCCCTTCATCCCCACCTTAACAGCCCCTATCCCCCACTACTTGTCAGGAAGCCCCAGCCCTAGCTGAAGATACTGACATTCAGTGGATTTTATGGGAAAATATTTTACAGACATTCTGAATGTATGAGTGAAAATAGTTCATCTATAGTTAAAAGAGGGGAAATTATGTTTCATTGAGCATTTATTGCCTCAAATCACATGTAAAGTCTTAGGCAACATTATATTTAAATGTCTTCCATGTTTTCATTGATTCTGTTATGAATGTCTAGTTTTTACCTTGTAGTTTTTCTATTTATGTTCCAAGACAGGAAAATATGCTCAAATGAGTGACTTCTAAGCTGAAGAATCAACTTCATAATTTTCTGTGATATAGGAATTTATTCTAAAAATGGGGGAGAAGTTTTGATAGAAGTAATTCCTCTTTGTTAGCAAAATTTGAATCTGAGATTATTTTATTAGCATGTATATGAAAAGAAATGAAAGGAAGTCATAGGATATAACTTGGCAAACTATATTTTCAGTAACTTTTATGAGTGTATTTGAATTTCGAATGATAGTTGTCCATCACTGACTTCAGAATATGTATAAAACAGATCATTTCAGCACAATGTTTTAGCATTAGAAAAAAGTCCTCTAAATTTCAGATTGTGAAGTGAAATGGTGATCTAACCTAAGCCGTTATCAATAGATATAGTTACTATTTTCCCAGGGCTATAGGACTTACCTAATGTCATCAGACCATGAACTGCATTATATAGCATCGGTTCATAAACTTTATGGAATAATTATTTCTGATGTTGATTCATCTGTATCAAAAGAGTAAAACTAAAAATCAACTTTTCAATTACAGAGTCCATGTATAATGATGTTCTGAGGCAAAGAACAGGAAAACTATCTGCTGTTGTATTTTAGAAATCTGAAGAACCAAACACTAGCAGACTGGGAAACATGGGTGCTTTAAGATGCATTACAATTGAATTAATTATAATAAGACTGTATGGAACAGATTATTGAACAAGTCATTATTTAAATATACATAGTTAAAGATTCTTAAACAAGTTAGACTCTATCTACATAAAGAAAACAATTACAAATTCCAAGATTTCATTTATGGAACTATGGTCCTGTTTCCTTAGTTTTTCTTAAAGTCTCATTAGGAAAGGAAGTTAGTGATGTCCCAATTTGTCAACTCCTATGAGACCTAGGTGCTCATCTCTCAAGGCAGCTGGCATCTTCTCTTGCTTCATCTTGGGAGTTTGGGACAATGGTGTGTAACTTTAGCTCTTCTTTATAATAAAGTCCTGTAGTATCAGCAAATATGTTTTGCCAGTTGGCCTCTTTCTTCTTTCCCACCTCCTTCCACTCCCCCTCGTCTTTAACAGTTCAGGCTCTCCTTGTGAGCTTATTCTTGGTTCAGGCTGGCATAAACAATGCTTTTTTTTTTTTTGAGCTAGACAATACTTCACCTACACATTTTGTAAGGATATTTTCTATAAAATGAAGTGATGATTTATTTTCAGTGAGAATAAAATGCATATTTTAAATACTTTATAGAATAATTAATAGTTTTCAAATTTTCCCATTAAAATTGTGTATCATATAATGTACATCTACCTTATTATAAATGTTTGTTTTGTTTCTTAGCACAGTTGTTTTTAGCAATGTCTTATGTTTAAGCATTAAGATAATTTAATTCCAGTAATTGTCTGCCCTGTGTGTTTTGCAGTTTACCATCAAAGAATCAATTGGAGACGGTTTGTTTGTCTCATTTTAATTTTTGCCGTGAAATGAAGCCAATGGAAGTACATATAATTCAACTAAATATTGTTTCAGAAACTAGCTCTACATTGGCTGAACACATTCCTCTATAGCTTTGTAGAGCACTTTCTGCGACTGAACACATTTTTAAACTATTTATTATTTTTTATTATTTTATGTGTATGAGTGCATTGCCTGCATGTAAGTACATGCATCTGTGTCATGCAATGCCTGCCGAGGTCAGAAGAAGGCATCGGATCCCCTGGAACTGGAGTTAAGGATGGTGATTAGCTATCATGTGGGTGCTGGAAACTGAACTCAGGTCCTCTGCAAGAGCAGTCGGTGCTCTTAGCTGCTGACATCTCTCCAAATCCTAAACAAATTTTTATTCTACTTCTATCACAATTAACTTCATGCCAGAATATCTTGTGTTTACTTTTGGCACATAAACAGGTATGAAAATCTACAGGCTGTATGATTTCACAAAAAAAAATTTGTTCTGAGAATTCTTCATGAGTTTTTAAGTAACAAGAGAGCTGTGTCCTGAGAAATTAGACTGTATGTAAATCTTCATCACATCCATAAGGCTAAAATATCTCTATCATTCTTGCTGGACTGTGGCGTATACGTCTTAGCTTCTTCCTATTTGCAAATATCTCTCATCTGTGTGTGTGTGTGTGTGTGTGTGTGTGTGTGTGCGTGTGCATGCACATGTGTGTGCTGATGCAGGCACCTGTGTGTCCATGTGTAGAGGCCAGTGGTCCATGCTGGGCATCTTCCTTAGTTGCTTTCCATCATATTTTTGGAGGCAAGCTCTCTTGCTGGACCTGGAGCTCACCAATTCAGCCACCATGTTCCCTGGCCCTGAGCACTGGGGCTACAGGGATGTGTGCCCTGGAATTTACATAGGTTCTGGGGACCTGAACTAGGTCCTTATGCTTGCACAGGAGGCACTTTACCAACTAAGCCATCTCCCTAACTCCAATTGCCATCTTTTCTGACTATAGTTTAACTCTATTATCAACATGGTTTATCCTCCCTGTTCAAAGTAACTGTGTGGTAAAGTGTAAGACACGGATTTTGATCTAAAATTCTGTCTTTCAGAAACCTTTTCTTGCTGTGATTCAGTCACAATTTTTTTTTAATTTTCCTGAAAGCAGCAGGTTTCTCCCACCTACACTTTCCACCTCCATCCCCCTTGCCACACACATTGATTTTATGAAATTTCTCTGCTGCCACTCTGTTTTCTTCATTGTATCAAATAAAATCACCCTCTGAAGTGATGGAGAAGCAGAGCACATCTCTGAGTACTCTGAAAGTCCATCTCCTTTGCTCTCTGGTGCCTTATTACCTGTGTTGAGAAAATGCATGCATTCTGAACAGATGCCTCCTAGCAGTTGTGAAAGTAGGTAACCTTTAAAGATACCTCCAGGCAACTTGGAATAAACTTCCTGATAGCACAGCACTTTTTTTCTATCAACTTTGAATACTTTTCCTCTTTAGTAAATCATAAATATTCTAATTTCTTGAAAAGATTTCAGGTCGGTTTCTTTTCTTTCATGGTATTGTTCTCCAAAAATTATATTCTTTGAGAACTATCGTTTTTATATTTAGCAAGTGTTCAGAATACAAAGGAACACATTGTATAGCTAAACTGTATTTTATTGTGATTG